GACATTCTTGCATATTGGGCCAGATTAATTCGCAGGTGATTAGCTTGTCTAAGAAGTTGCATGAAATTAACATGGCGGTAAGGACGCAAACATAGAGGCGGTGATGACGGCCTAATTTGAAACATGGGCAGAGCGATAGGTATAATCACGCCAGTAAAACAGGGTGCCAATCAAATGACCTCCCACACCCATCACGGTACTCTGTGCGTCCACTCACTACATAGGGGTGCCTCTGGAAACCCCGTAGACTTCGTTGAACGAGCCGGATATACATCGGCCGTACTTAAACAAATCGAACACGATCGACTATTAATAACTGAAAATGTCCTCTGACAAGCTCATAGGGGAACGAAGAGGATATTTTGTGAGGTTAAACCCCGAGATGTTAACACTTTTTACATTGAGGTCTATCAGGACTTTGCCAAGTCTATCGACAAGACAGTCCTTCGGAATTTATCCCATAACGACTGGAAGGTGACATATTCGGTTATCGTCATTTTATCTCACGGGGCTGTTAGAAGCTCTAACGAAGACACATGCAGATTTTTCAGAACCGTTATTATGCGATATGAAAGTTGTAATAACAACCGCTCATGAAGTTGATTATGAGGGAATAGCTGGCAATAATAATATGACGAGGTGCAAGCTAGAAAGAAGATAGGAGTAAAGGTTTTGAATTCTGTAGGTCAGGAAGGATACTGTCGTGGGAGGGGGAAGGGAGGGGAGGAACCACGAGGAGAGGGTTCGCGGAGAGTGGAGCCGGCAGTTGTGAGGAGGGCAGATGAATTGGAGGAGCCGTTAATATCTAAAAGGGAGAAGGAGATGTACCGGTTGGACCCACATCAAATCCAGGATCTAATTCGAGTTCAAAATCGACGGCAATTCAAACAACCGATGGTCAGGTCGGGTGGGTGGGTGGATGCACCACGAATTTTATCATGCTGACTAAAAAAATGTTGTAGAAGAGCCAACTGAGGCATCTATAGAGTACCACGCCCCTAAGCACAGCGAATTCAGAATCAGAAACATCAGGTAACAAAGAGAAACCACAAGAATAACTTAGGCTAGCCGATAAATTCATGCACTAAAAAGGGAGCCTCTGTAGAATTACAAAAAGAAGGGGGGAAATAGCAAACGTATGCTCTCCAACCCAATAGGAATTTTCGTAACTTAAAATGCAAAATGATTCGTGCATTCACGCAATGAATGGCTTTCAGGGGAGAGGTTGAAGACAGACGAATGGGGTTTCGTGTACTGACGGTAAATAAGGCGGAGGCCATAATGATTTGGATGATCACCACAGAGTCTAATCCACAGAATACAGCCAATAACGGGAGTTTTATCCACAAAGCGACTTCAAGCAGATTCTGCAACAGCAACAAGACAATCAACAAGAGAGCGAGAAAACCTGTATGCGGTAAACTTACCAGATTTTGGTTAGAGGTTGGCGGGATGGAGAGGGGGTCTTAACCGGACCAATCTTTCGGTTCGTAGAAGGGACCCCAGCCATGGAAGCAGCGACGGAACATGAAAGGCTCTGCATTCTTGGCAGTGAGTTTCAACTGTCTTGGCCGAGAGGGCTGTAATCGTATCATGTTCTCCTTGTAGAGTTTAGCAGCTTGAAGGGAGAGCTTGACCTCCACATCGGAGGTGCGTTTTCCAAGCCAAAGATAAATCTACAGGGAGAAAAAATAAATGTTTCTTTGATAGATGGAAAAGAATCAGCCTTGAAAGGGGGCACGAGCCAAGTTAACCAGCTTAACTAAAATCCCCGAGAAATAAAATTGGAACAAGGGCAGAAAAGATACAAAAGAGGATATAATGCTAGTAAACGCTGCGTGAGAATAAATCGGCACCTCTTGTAAAGACGTCACATACATATCAGTAGTGGTTGTCCCGAGTGACTGTAGGTGCTATGGAAAGTAATCGACGTTATCTGTGAGCAGCGGAAAGTAATTTTCCCCTTATGGCGAATTGCGAAACTGACAAGAAAGCCGACCGAAATTGCCGTCTTAATGTCATTTCATTGTTCCTGCATAACGCGGGTTTAACTGGCAGCAAAGCCTGTTTCATGAGTTCATATCGTTAATAAACATTTTTCAATCATTAAGGGAGAGCCCGCCTAAAGTCCGAATTGGAAATTTCCTTTCCGAAGGGGTCTGGCTGGTCCAATGTTCCAACTGCCAAGATAAAATCAAGTTTACCAAACGTTTTCTCGTCCTCGTCTCGAAGGCAAGGATAGACCACCCTTTCAGATCTTTTGCCCGTGCAAGTACACCTTCAGTGGTTCCTTAGGAGCATAGTAGAGGGGTTGAACGACAAGACGCCTACCAAGGTGGATGAGGAAGCACCATCCTGTTTGGCCCAACTAAGGTACCGTAAAGTTCATCTGCAGGGCAAAAGTGGCTCACTAGGTTGGCAACAGTCACCTAGCAGACGTCAAGCAATCATTTCAAGCAATCTACAGGGGAAAACGGGAGAACCTAAAATTGTACTTAAACGGACACCTTGAAGACAGAGACGATGACTGCACGATTAGTCAACCTAATCTTGGGTCCAGAAAAAAAAACGGTCCTAAAATTGCTAATCACATCCCACCACGCTGTATATAACAGTGAGGAAATGAAAACTCATTCCCCACTGACGCCCTTCTCTTGACGCCAGAACTAGATGGTAATATCTACCTCTTGCTCGCTACATCCAGACACCCCTCAATCTCCTGCCATTCCTCCGTTGGCTGTTTATAATCTTTCATTGCCCTACGGTGACGCAATTAGAGCATACCTGATCTCCAGTGTCCAACATCATCACATC